TTCTTCTCGGCAGGGCTGCTCTCGATCCACTCATCACCCAGCCTGTCTCTGTGCTTGGGATTGCCTCGATCCAGGTGCAGGACCTTGCACTTGGCCTTGTTGAACTTCACGAGGCTTTCATGGGCCCACCTCTCCAGCCTGTCAAAGACCCTCTGGAGTATCAACCATACCAGTCTTGGTGGCATGCTTTTCATGTCTTTGGGCTTCTTTGATCTCTCTCCAAAAAAATAATTTGTTTTTTTCCTAAGAAGTCCATTCCTCTCCCTATATAATATAGTGGCAGTTTGGAGTATTTTTTCTGTCCTTCATTATAATGGAAGGGTCTGATAGCATGCACTGCTGGTGGATGACCTTGAAAATCATTCAAGTCCATAGACTTTTTTTTTGTGAGGGCAGGGTGGGGGGAACTGTTCAAATGTCTTCTTGGAGCGTGTGCGTCCTGGTAAAGATGAAAGCTGCTTCAGGGGCACATCTGCTTAACAGTGACTTTGGAAATATATGTTCAGATCTCTCATGTGTCTTGACCTTTTTTTTTATTAGTCATTTTTTATATAAAAGGGGATGACAGTAATGCTTTCCTAACTTGCGGGATTATTTTAGTTGTCCCAATGGTCATGAGTACAAAAGACCTCTGGGAGGCAGTTGTTTTAGTGTGATGTACAGTGCTCAGTCAATTTTGAGAGAACACCACGTTCTCTCAGACTGGATAAGGGCAAGAGAAAGCATTAAAAGGCTGATTTCTGTGGAAAACAGAGCTGTTTTCATGAGAAATTTTGAGCTGCCCAGAGGGTAACACAGTCGCCGTGACAAATAAAAGGCGGCAGTCTGGGGAAGAATGGTGCCAGGCTGGCCTCTCCCTGTGCAGATGTGACTGCCACGACGATAAGCACTAAGCACAGCAGAAAAAGACACAATGAGTACATTAGTTCAGAGGAGAACTGTGCAGCTTACCCAAAGCGAATTGAAAGAGCACTCCTACTCAGAATTAAAGTGGCTTTCATTTTAGAAGCAAAGCATACCATCAGATTAAGGGAACCTTCATTCTGAATAATTACGTGCACATTGATTGAATGCAGTTTAAACTACTTTAAAATTACTTCAGATTAATCTTCCTGATTGTGCCTGTGTAGGCAAGTACTATGGGGCAAAGCTTTCTGAATATTTTAACACCTTTTAGAAACTTGGGAAACAAAATATATGGGTAAATTGCAAAGATCTGAAGTTGCCCTTCAAAGTGGCCCTCCCAAAAGCCATTAATACGTTTAAAGTGCTTTGGGCTAATAGAATCTGTCAGAAAAAAATAAAGAGAATCAACTGTTTTGAAAACAGGCTATCCACGTGACCTCCTGTCAACGTGGGCAGAATAAGCTCTGACTGTAGATCTACCCAAAACAACATATCTCAGTGGCTAAAAGTAAGAGTCAAAAAGAGAAATGAAACATCCAAAGAGGTATGTATGAAAACTGTTTTTCATGTTAACTGACCAAGCTCAAATGTTATGACTACATTCAAAACAGTCACTAATTTGGATGAAGGAATGGTCTACTGAAAAACACCGAGTAGAAACATGCTTTTCTGCAGCCTCTGAGAGGCTATGGCAAAGATTTCTTATAGAAAATCTTATTCTCCACTGGGGGGGAACCGAGAGGAATAAAGCAAGTATTAGCTGTCACTGATAGCCTTATTAGTTACACTTCAGAAATGCACCTTGTCTTATAGAAAACTGTTTACTGCAATGATTTCTTTATTTGCTCCCACACTGAGCCTTGGATGAGCAGATTCTCAGGTGCGACAGATTGACCCAGGAGACTACTAATGATATAAACCACATTATTTTCTAAATTGTGGATGAATGTGCAGCAATAACAGTAAGCCATTTAGGGCAGTTTTGCTAGACATCTGGCAATTTATGTGAAATGAGCTAACACTTAAAGTAAGTTCCTCAGGAGAGGCAGTACAAAAAAGTCTAAAGCTGAAGGAGATGACTCTTGTGCCTGCTTTTTGGTAGATGGGGTATTATTGCACGATAATTACAAGGTGAACTACAACCAGGTTTTTCTGAACTACTCTGCAATCCAAATTCGTGAAGGTCATACACTGGTTTATTCAGTCTACTGAATAAACAGTAGACTTGCAAAACCATAATCAGCTCCCAGATAATCTATTCCATATGATAACGCATCACCTTATGATGAGTTTAGTATGGATACAATAGAGAACTGAAGCCCGAGTCTTGTTCCTGGCAAAGAACTTTCTCCTTTCTGCTTGCAAATCTGGCATAGGGTCATGAAGAGAACTCAAGAAACTGCCTTGAAGTGGCTTGTACTTCAACAGATGGGACTGACAAGTGGGAAGAAAGTTAAACCTAGATACTCTGAAGCAGAGGGAAAAATTAAAGGGAAACATTAAAGTAGGTTCAATGACACATTCAACTTTTTTTTTTTTATTTGATGTGGTTTACTGCCCTTAGCCCATAAAGGCCTGATATTTAGGTAGCTGTGAAAACAAGAAAGAATAAGCTGCTACTATACTTTCTACCACATTGTAGCAATACCTGGATAAGCTCAAGTAGCATGTAAAAAGAAAAGGGGAATTATATTAAAAAAATAATATTAAAAAAAAGAACCCACAAGTTCATTGCTGAGCCATGTTTGCTCAGGTCGCAAATCTTAAAATTCATAAGATATCCTTCTCAGCATGAATTCATGCTGAGCTCTATTTGAAATTTAATTACAGTATTGTGGCCAATGTCCATTGGCTACTTATGCCAATCAGCTTTATGAGAAGAAATGTCAATTATAATGGCAATGCCAAGATCTTGCTGTTCAACAGAGTTTGGAGATTCCAGCCTGTTCTTGCTCATATTCAGTTTACCTCTATTTCTAGGGTAATTCTTGCCTCCTGGATAACTGGAAGTCTTTTTATGTAGCGATTTCCCTCCATAGAAGAATGTCAGAGAAAAATCAGAGCAATACATCAGCCAAGGACTTCCCTGCAAGCAGCTGAAGCCGGCTTTCTAACTAGCAGAGGAGCACAGAGCAGCTGACATCAATGCAGTGCTGGCATACCGTTCTTGTGTTGCGCAATAAAGTCTCCTCTGTGGTGGCGGAGAGTAAAGGAGGATGTTGTCAGAGTTGTTACTTATGGATGTATCATTCCTTCCACATGGGATGTACATGTCACATGTTCCTCCTAGCCATGACACTGCCAAGGCTCAAATACAATTGTAATAATAAACTGTCCTTGTAAATACAATTCAGAATTTATTCATACTCAGAAACAACTGCTTCCTAGATTTCAAGGGTGCTGGGCCAATGCTGGAAACTGCTAATTATGCAGCTGATTTATGGGGAAAAAAATATTATCTGGAATGTTCTAAACCTTGCCAGTCTCAAGTCTGTATGTAAGCTCATGACAGACAGAGGCAATCACATCAGAAAAGTTGCAATGGTGGAATTGTTGCTATACTGAGAACAGTGTAACTATTGGTCCTCTTCTTCTGTCTTGGGAACCTCTGAAGTGTGTAAAGCTGAGTTTAAAAGATGTGCTGTCCCCTAGGTACTGGAAACGGTGGGAACTTTAGGCTATGCTTAACTACAGCCACGTGGTTCCTCTTCTTTTTGAGTAATCTCCTCAAGACAAGGAGATGGGAAGTAGACCAGATACTCCAGGCTGAGGCAGCCAGTTCTCAGAACTTGTTAGAGACCTGCTCTCCATAACAGTGACAGGCATGTTGAAGGCAGGAGGTTGAAGGTGTATGTTTTCTTACCTGGGCTTTCTCCCCGTAAGCCTCATGTACAGGTCGTAGAGTATGGCCGGTGCCTTGTGACTGACAGTTACCCAGTACTGGTTTATCAAGTAGTTGGATGTCAAGTGAGTGTTGGGTGTTCGGAAGGCCTGCTCCAGCGGGTTCCTTTTGAACGTGGACATGACATACTGCTCTGTAAGGGAACAGGCATTTAACTTAAAATCAGGCACTTAATTTCAGTTGAGTTGGGTGCAACCATACCAATATGCTGCAGTAAAGCCCAAGTGCTTAACACGTTTATGAACTCATGTAACCAGAGGTTGGACAAGATCATCTCATGGTCCCTTCTGTCATTAAAATTGATGACTCCATCTATTGCCTATTTGAAACACAATCTGACTCCAGACTTAATAGTGGCAGACAAAAACTTCCTTATGAAAACACCAAAATGGAGGAAAAGCAGGCAGTTGTAGCCTGAAAACCAAGGAACTGCAGTTCTGCTTTCACCTGCAGTAGTTGTAGAAGAAATTGGTAAGCATTAACACAACTTCAGATCACTGAAAGCAATCTTTGATCTGCTAGCATAAAACAAAAATGACATTTCTAATTTCTATTCAATTTTTCAATATTAGTCTGAGTCAGGGACAGGTTGCTTACACACATAGGGGGCTGCTTCTAGAAAGACTTCATTATATCCTTTCAAACCACATCTGACCCACAACACCAGATCCCTCAGCCTGTTTTCAGAGGAGCTCTGGATGCACTAAAGCAGCAAATTGTCTTGCATTCTTAACTCGAAAACTAATGATAGGGTGGTGATCTTTCATTCCCTTTGTATGTTAAGGCACAAAATATGTTGGGTCTGATTCTGAGCTCTTGGGCACAGTGCCATAGAAGTGGCATCTTAATGTGCATATCTGGGCCATTTGCATATTGCAGAGGCTTAATAGAACTGCAGGAGTTGAATATAAGACTGTCATCCTAGGGACTGATAAACAGATGGTGCTCCTATTCCTGAGCACCAGTGAGCTCGACAAAGAAGAATATGTGGGCTTTTTTACTTTTTTAAAAATGAATTTGAGAGTTATGACATCAATCTGTGCTCATATTATAGTTTACTCTCTAAGCTTATGTTACAAATAGAAAATCAGATGAGAATTTGCAAGTCACAAGAAACATCCAGATCATCCTCAGATAAGCCGATTTCAATCATAATATTCAGAGAGGACTCTCACATATCTGTGGTCAGCTTATTACTGCACTTTAAGTACTGACTTTTGCTGTACTTGTTCTAAGTAACAGCAACTAGAGAAGAGACTTGTTAGCCACTTAGCTGCTAAGTTTAGACAACAAAGACTGTTAAAATAATACAATTTAGTTTTAGTGCTAGTTAATTTTTAATTTTTGTGGCCTGTACTCTGCAAGTTTCATGGCTGAAGACCAGTTCTCCTGAAACTCATCTTTCATTTGAACAGTTAGAACTGACCGCCATCCCTTCTGTTTCATGTCGCCATGCTGCAATGATGTGGTTATCTTGTGGTCATCTCGTGGCCTGCAGTATGGAAATCTTATCCTTTGCAGCACGTTCTCTCAAAATGTCAAGGTTTAGCAAAAGCTCCTATTTAAACTTTCCCATGTAGTTGTGCCTGGCAGGGAGGGCTCACTTTACTGAAGATTTGGAAAGGTGTTTACTCCTGGCAGGAGAGTGGCAATAACTAACTTGTTTGGGATGGGCTACTGGGAAGTAAGTTGCTGTCCTGGCCCAGCTCATGGCAGAGTTTGTGTCTGTCTAAGCAGTGCATGAGGAGTTTCTTTCCTCTGTGTTAGCAGCACGGCCATTAACTACAATTATACTTCGTCAAAGTCATAGCTGGCTTAAACGTAAAGAGATCTGCTCCCAGTTTGGAGAGGGCTCTATGTATGTACCCATTCAAATAGTTCATGGATCAGGACAGCAATCCCATGAACTCTGTTGCTTCTCCCCTTAAGGAAGTTTCTCCAGGAGGCACTTTAAATCCCAGTTTATGTACAAACTCTCAATATTTAAGTTAATTTAGTTTCATTTGGTCACTTCATTTCCTAATGGAAACCTATCAGTTTCACTGGGAACCACTGATGTTTTGGAATTGTGATAGTTTTGGTATTGTCTGCAGCATATATTTATAGTTCTGTTTATTCAAATCCTGATGTTAATATACTGCAGATCTAGTTTTCAGCTGTAAACTGGTTGAGAAGGTTTCCCTTTGGAAACATGTTAAAGACATTACTGCCCTTCTTTTCTCTTTGGATTTTTGGCATCTTTGGCCAGGATAACAAGAAAGAACTAATCAGTAAGTGGAAAATACAGCCCTTGTCATTTCAGATCATCGGCCATACACCAAATTCACATAAATCAGCAACACCCTTGTCATCTTGGTTACTTAAGGCTTGTAGTGGAAAATGCAGCTGTAGTAAAGGAGCTACAGTATTATACTGTGGTATTACTCGGTGTGAGAGGCACGTATGTCAAGACTAGATGAGATATCTGCTGAAAATTCAAGAAAAATTCTGAAAGTCAGGAAGGAAAGCAGGTTTGTTCTAAAATGCACATAAGGAGGCAGAGACCAACTTGAAAGACTGACTGGAAGGAAGTTGAGACATAACTTCGAACAGTTAATGCTATAGGCGTTTTCTTTATGAACCTCTCTTACCCTGGCTTGCACTGACTCGGCACAATTGCTCTGTCTCCTAATTTCTGGAAAGCATTCAACTTTGCAAGCATAGCAAGTCTTTTATGCTCCAACAGTTTTTTTTTGAGAGAGAGAAAGAATCAGACAGACAGATGGGTCAGGCAGGCAGAAACCCCCAAACCAGAAACATATCACCTCTAGGAGCTACTGAAATGACTTGACGGGTGGGTCATCTTTCCCCTCTGACCACAGCACAAAAATGAGGCAGCAAATTCTACAACTCAAAGGCAGATTTAGCAGTGGGAGAATCAGAGATAAGTCTCACCTAGGTAGACTGTCAAAGATAAATTGAAAATAAGTTTTCGCACACTGAACACCATTTAGTTTTGAACAGAAATTGCAAAATGTACTTAAATTTAGACTAGCAAGACTTAGATTGCAGCAAAGCAGAATACGCTTCTTCAGGTTAATACTCAGTTGTCTGACCACATTTTTGTAATGGCGGGGAAAATAACAGTTATAATGGAATAAAGTAAGAAAAGATCCCAAGGCATAGCCTTACTTGGAAAAAAAATAAATCAGTTAAGGTTCCTTTTAACACTAGAGGTTAGTCTGTATCTGGAGATCTGTAGAATAAATTGGTTTGCAATGGATGTTTAAGCATAAGCTCTTAAATAGACATATTTTTCAAGTAATTATCTTCTAGATCTCTTTCTCCTCCCTCTCTGCAAGCTTGTCACCTTTGTACTCAAAACTTCCCCATCTCAGTCACTTCTGTTCCCTACCCAGGGCATCCTCAGCCCACTCCAGTCTCAACTTCTCTATTTAATCTTTCCTTTCCTCCTCTCCCACCAAAAAATCCCTACTCTGTTGTGTTCGCCTGTCATTTCTACAGCTGGTCCTGGTGCAAGTCTCCCTAACCAGGTAGTCCAGGTACTCCCCTCTGCAAACCCCATGTTTGATTTGCACTAAAATGCTCAGTCCCACACCAGATGACTCCCATTCCCCATCCTTGTCTCTCAGCAGCTTCCACTCTTGCTTTCATAACCTTCTACCTTGATGACTGATTACAGACCTTGTGCCAGTCTGGCCTCCCCAGACTCCTTGAACAGACTAGCTTTCCCTCTGCTGATCCTGTGTCTGTTTACATCAAACAGCTTCTTTTATGCTGGAGAAAGAAAAATTTGAAAAAGCTGAAAAACCACTGGAGGTAGAGACCTGGCCTCAACTGTTTCAACCTGAAAGGCTGGCAGAGCTAAACACAGTTGGAAACACGCTTTTGAAAAGAGAAGGTGACGACTCAAGTTAGCAGATGCTGCCTCATTGCGAAGGAGGGAACTGGTGGGTAAAGTTCAGTCCTCCTGTGCAGGGGCTGGACTACTCAGTGGTAGCTCTTATTGCAGAGAGAACATGGCTCTGAAAGGCCTATTGGAAGTGCATGCCATCAGTCTGGCTGCCTAGAAACCAAATAATAGTGAGTAGACAGAGAAAGTAATGTGAGTGGGTTGAGAAAGTCTGTCATATATATAAAGAAGATTTTAGAATTGTGTGTATTTACCAAAAAGAAATTGGTAGGAGACTGAATTGAAAATTCAAAATGGATGGTCGCAATAGTAACATCCTAATGCAATAAATCTTTCCCAAACTAGTTTCTTAAACCATGCAACATCTTTAAGGGCAAAATTTTGCTCTTCGATACTCCATCTTAATTCCTATTCATGAATTTATACCTAATACCCCTCTGCCGCCTGCTGATCTCTGTAAAACTGTGGATACAACATGTGGTAGAAATAGCTCCACAGTGTTATCCAGGAAGAAAATTTTGCCTTCAGACCCATCACACAGCTGAACTGCTTATGCAAGCTTCTGCTGCACTCAGATGATTTCATTACTAACTCCACAGTTATGGGCAAAGTAACAGAGTAAGATCAGTTGCAATGCATTAACACACTGCTCTTTTTATCAATAAAATTACACTGAAAATGGGTTAAGAAAGGCAAACCTCAGGTAGTAGTGCTATGGTGGCTGTTGCCTGAAGCAACACAGCGGCCTGTGAAGAGCTTTGCATTTACTCCTGTGACAAAACCACAGAAGATTTGACTTTACATGTTATCAAGACTGGCTAAATTTTCCAACAAACCTCTGTGAAGCCTCACCTCTTCTCACGGCTGTGACAAACCACAATGTTATCTCTCTCTTAAAAAAAAAAAAAAGTATCAGGAACTTGGTGTGATTTTTCTCCCCACTCAGACAGTGGCCGAAACCTCTTCCCTGCTAGATCACTTGATCAAATCTCATGGTAGGACATTAGTAGGAGTTTCAGACAAGCCATGTTCTGAAAATGCAATTATGGTCTGATTCTTTGCTGACTTACAGTTTGCCAATTAAATAATACAGAGACAAATGCAAAGCAAAGGCTGTGAGGTGAAACACCACAGTAGTGATTTGCCAGCCTCCATTATTTAAAGCACAATGATATGAATGAATGGATAACAGAAAGCAAATCAGGCCCTGTACATGCTTC